TCCCTAACCTGACTTCTGCTGCATAGAAAAATGTTACCATGTCTAATTTGGGAGCTTCCTATTACACTTTCCTTTGCTTTTAAAAGACTAAATTCTGTGACAGAATAGGAAATCAAGCAACCATGCTTGATTTCTCTGAGGATTTTACAGAGATAGATGTGGTATCCTTTCAAGGCCAATGGCCACATGAAGCTCTCTGCTAAAACCTTCCTACTGTGTCTGAACAGATTTTGGTAAGATACACTTCTGTCTTGTATCTGTGACAGTAATCGACAGGTGGGGCAGTATTTCTGACAGGAATCTGAATTTGTTCACAGTAGCTCAGGTAGGAACTAGTGAGAAAGACTCACCTTTTTTGGCTTTTCCTTGCAGGTTGCTTTCTTCCATGAAGAGAGAAGAACAGAGAGCTCAAAGGAAAATAAACTGGAGTCAGATAGCACAGGCAGGGTTCAGAGGAGATCCGCAAAGGTGGCAATCTACTATCTCCACGAGTTAGCCGGAGAAGAGCTGGCCAAAGAATGGCCCAAGAGGAAAGTGCTGCGGGACTTGATTCCAGATGATCGCAAGGTGCAATGCCTTAGAATGCTATGTAAAGTTTGAGTCTTCTCTACAGCAGAAGAGTCTTTCGCTGGCATCTACTCAGTTTTACCAGGATGTAATGACCCACAGAAAGCAATATGGAGGAATGTCTTGTGAAGAGCATCAGGTTTTTCTCTATCTGTCATCTTAGCCTAAAATTGTTAATTGCCGTGGTTATCCATGTTAGCAAGATAGGCTACAAAGACTTTAAACACCTTGAAGTACTATTGTAGTACTTCGTTTTCAGTGGGCATAAGCAGTAATGGTAGTTAGAAGCCATATATTGCTCAAAAGTCATAGAGATCACTGCCCCAAAGCAGTAGTATTTCCTAGTTTTTCAAGTTTCAGAGCATCCAGGAGCATCATATAGGCAGTAAAGGAAACCCAGAGGGAAAGGATGATTTATGTCTTTGAGATGAATATGTTTGGAGGAATTGTAGTCTAAATTATGGGAGGTTTTGGATTCCAGGATTGTAGGGAATTTCCAGAATCGGTCATGTTTGTAGACAGCGAGACAGGAGAATGTTATATATTGAGAGTTTGGGTGTTAGAATAGAAGGAGAAATAGCACTTCTGTTTCACAGCTTGAGAGAGAAGGAAATATGTACTTGACAGTCTGAGTAGCTGTCATTTCTTCTACCTTTTGATTCCATCTCTTTGTCTTAGCTGAAATACACTCGTCCGGGACTGCCTACCTTTAGTCAAGATGTGCTGTGCAAATGGAAAACAGAGATAAAGATGTACAGAAGAGTTCACTGCCCAAACGAGGTAAGCCTTAAGTCTTTCCAAAGCCTCAAAAGGAACAGGTTTCAGGCCTGCATGAGCCAACAACTTTCCACAGCATTCAAACTGCAGTTTATCTCTGTCTGCAGGAGATAAATTGTGCTCCATCAGCATAGTTGCTCAGTATAACCAAGACTCTGTTTGGACTGCTGCCTCCCTCTGACGAGGTGTCTGCCTACTTCAGAGCTAGCAATTTGGTGTCCGATTGATAGAGCTTCACATCCAGCCAGGAGTTGGTGTGAGTGAAGATTTGGCTTATCAGTGGAGAGGAAAAAAAAAAAAAAGACAGGCCCCTGCTGCAGTAAAGCTAGCAGGTGCAGCAAACCTAATTATAGAAGAAGGGAGAAGGAGAGGAAAATCTGAGGGCCGAAGGACTGTTTTATTTGGCCCAACACTCAAGTCTTATTTTGAAGGCTGAAAATGGCCCCCAAAACAGCTTCATGCATGGCACTCTGTCATCCTGATCTAGGGATGCTCGTATGTAGTTTCTTATAATCCTACAATGTTGTAACAGTCAGATTCACTGAGAAGAACTGGGCCCTTTGGTGGAAACGATTGGTACCTCTCTGCAGGAACGCAGGCATCTGCTTACTTCGCTCTTTGGCTATTAGGCTGGCTTATGCTGCTGGAAACCTAAGGGTCAGCAGTGGCTTTTGTCTGGGATTGGAGCAGAGATAAGAGTGTTTTTTTGTTGTTGTTTGTTTGTTCTCTTCCCTCTGGCACTCTGTCACCAACTTTCAGGGTTCTGTTATTTCCAGGTGTGTGATCTCGTATCCCGAGACTCATACTTAAAGACCCGCATGGGGTAGGCCCTTAGAGATGCCCTTTTTTGCAGAATGTAAATGGGACTGTTGATTTCCGATGCTGTACTTCACTCAGTGCCACCAGAGGCACAAGCAAAGCAAGAGAGATTATAGTGTCTTATACTTCCCACTGTGCTTTGTTCTGAATTAATCTGTTTGCTGCCCTTTAGGCAAAATGCAAACTATCATATTACTCAAGCTTTTAATAGTGAATGTGTCTGTGTGGCAGGGATCTCTTTATAATGTCTACACATGTGCCCAGAAACTGAAAATGTATAATTTATTAAAATTTTAACTGCCTTGTAAATGTCGTCTTTGCTACAAGCATTTTGGTTTTGTAGGACTTGGTATCTCATTTCCTCTACCCCTCTTATGCCTTTGGAAAGAGCATCCCAGAGAAACGTTCTTGTACAGGAAGAATTTCCATACCAGAGTTTTTCTGACACACGCATTTCTCTCCTGTTTCAGGGTTGTGAGTCTGTATACGGGAGCGTCTCAGGACTCAAATCTCACCTTGGCACGTGTACCTTGGTTAGTAGCATCTTTGTACTCAACCTGTTTTATACTTACAGACTGGCTGCCCTGTCCTTAGGTATCTCCTTTTTAAGCTGTTCTGCCACCCTCTAATCTGATTCTTTTTCCCCCAATTTGCATGCTTCGCTGTGTACTAGGGGGTCTGCTGTTGCAAACACAGTTCGAGGCAAAGAGGGAACATCTTCATGTCGTACGTTTTATTGTACTTGCAGTCCTACCTGTAGATTCACAGCTACAAAAGTGCTTTTTCCAGGTACAGCCTTAGACCTTGCAACATCTTGCAGGGTAATCCTATCCTTTGTGGGCATAATTTGTTGGTAATGTCAGTGCTTTTGTCCTACAATGTTCAGTCTGGAATGAATAAGACATTCTACTTTCAATGATGGGTTATAGCTGTTAAAGATCAAGTATAATGTATATAGGTGCATCTGCCTTCTGTGCAGTAACAGGTGATTTTTTTTTTCTTATTCTGTTTTGTTCTTGTGCCAGGGAGACTTTGTGGCTGGTAAATACAAATGTCTCCTTTGTGAAAAGGAATTTATTTCAGAGAGCGGGGTCAAGTATCACATCAACTCTGTGCATGCTGAGGTAAGGCTGGCATAGTGGAAGTCCCCAAATCCCAAACTGTGAAGATGGGAGGGTATTTTGGGAAGAAAATGTTGGATACTTGCCTTGTTGGATTTTTCCTTGCTAGCTGTTGGAAAGAGGCTAGACTGGCCTTTGATCTGCCTAAATACAGCTGTTCTGGTGCATTTGTTTGGGGAACAAGTGCTGTATCATGTAACATGTCTGGTCCCAAGCTGCTGCTCTTCAGCGTTTCCCATGCTATTAGTCAATTACTAAACCAAATCTGATTCCTCTGGGGCAGAGTGACACCTCATATGTGGTTCCCAAGAAAAGAGCTTTCTTAGCTGCTTTTCCAGATCTAATATTTCAATAAACTATTGTCCCATGGGCAGCTCTAATATGAGCCTATATAGACTTGGTATTGATATTTCCACTGCCAGTACCAACCTGTTGCCTTCTAAACCCCTCAGGACTGGTTTGATGTGAATACAACTACCACCAAGAGCTTTGAGAAGCTAATGAAAAACCGCCAAAGACAAGAAGAGCAGAGGAAACGACGGAAGAAACATGCTTTGACTCAGGGCAAAAAGAAGAAAATGGGATCCTTGTCTGCCAAGAAACTCCCCAGTGTTGGAGTTGAAAAAATCAGGAAGAATAAGAGGGGTCGCCCAAAGCAGGTGGTGGACGAGAGCGAGAGTAGTGAAGAGGGAGAGCCCCAAGTTGCGCAGAGAGCGGAGTTTCCCAAAACCAGCCGCAAACAAGGCCGGAAGTAAGTCTCTGGAGGAAAAGGAGAAGTAATCCCCAAAATTTTCAGTTACAAGCCCCACTTCTGCTAGGCTTACAACCCACAGTGCTAACATAAGCAACTGAATGTCTTTGGGACTGCGATTTCTCTCCTAACTTCTGTGACCTTGATTTTTGCAACTGTCGCATCTGCTTGGTTATGAGAGACTGTAAACCAAAGCTGTGATATAGGGACTGCCTCTTCTGGTGTAGTTCCCTGGGGCAGTGGCACTAGCAGTATATGTAGGCAGTGTAGCTCATGCCCTAGCTGTGGTCTCAGTTTGGGTCACATTACTTGCTTGTTTAGTGATTTCCAGTGTAGCAGCTGTCTCTATTTTGTCATCTTCCTCTGATGGGTGAGAGCAGGGTTCTCTGTTGTGACAGTTTTTTCCAAGAGGCTGACTAGCACTGCACTGCGTTTAGGTCTCTGAGGAAGAAATCCTCTTTCTTGCACAATATGCTCACAAACTGAGCAGCACTGTGCAGAATGCAAAGGCTTTAGCTTGCCCTGTGTGTTGGCAAGGTTGCCATAGAGGAGCACATACCTTCCTGGCACGTACTCTAGTGTGCTGCACAAGCATGGCCTGTGCTTTGTGCTCAGGTGCCCAAGCTCAGCAGCAGCCAGCAGGGCATGATCTCTGCTCTTTTTCGAAGTGATAGGATATCATTATCATCCTGGTCAGAAGTCTGATGTTCCCCTGGCATATGTCTTCAGTAGCACTGGACATGGAATATATGTAGAAGGTCTTCCAGTCCCATGGGGAATAAGGACTATCCGGCCTTTTGTTAGAGATTCACTGGCCTTTCAGAGATCCCTGGGAACTAATGTAATACAATGACATGTACTGGTCTTCTGAAGACAGCTTGCTGTTTCAGACTCATCTGGGAAACCCTATCTAGGAAAGCTGACAGCGTTCAGATTCACAGGGGAGCCTGTGCGGTGCCTGGTGAACAGACGGATTTATGTGTGTGTTTTTACCAGCATAATCTCATTGGCCTTGGCAGTCCAAGTGCTGTACAGCAAAAGGGTTCTCCAGAGCTGCTGCTGCTGTACAAGAAAAGGCAAAGCAGCCTGCAGGTGACCACTGTCTGTACCGTGTGTGGTAACACCTGTATAACAGCCAGCCTGTGGTGCTTCGGTGTCATTGAATGCAGTAGTTTTGCTGCCTGTTGGTTCTGGTTGTCACGATGGTTGCAGTGCTACACTGGCAGTACATGTATCTGAATTCCATGTAGGGCCTATAAGGCTTGGAACAAGAGGGGCAAGATAAGAATAAGACAAAATAAAGCATCAGCCGTGTGAGAAGGTGACTTGTTCATTTGGTATTTGCTGTTCCTGGTTCCAGCTGTACCTGCGTAGCGTGTGCCAGCGTGTGCGCGCTCGCTGGTGCTGCTCAGTTCTCTCATCCTGTTTCTCCTCACACAGCTGTACTTTGACCATGCATGTTTACTACCTTCCTGCCCCACACATGGACAACAACATAAAGCCAAGTATTAAAGAAGGTTCTTCTTTGTGGAATTCAGTTAAGAGTCCTGTTTACCGTTGCTTATAAGTAATGAATCAGCATTATTTTCTAGGCCTTCTAGTTCATCATTACTGTCTGGATTTTGTCAAAACAACAATGTAGTCTCGCACATACTGTGACACAGAACAAAAATCAGTATCTAACAGTCCATCCATCATTCCTCTGTACTTACCTCTCCCTGTGTTATGGTGGGTCATTTGCTGGAGTGACTTCAGCTGGGGAGTTGGTGGCACTGCTGCACACAGAGGAGGTGGTGGCAGCGCAAGGCTGTAGGCAGAGACGTGACAAGTCCTGCAGCAGTACAATCCGCTGCTTCTCAGCCTGTGGCCAGCTCCGGAGCACTTGCTCTTACTTGCTGTCGATGGACTGCTGCAGTCGTGCCCCAAAATGCTGCTCAGAGGGCATGGGAAAAGCCAGCCTCAAGGAAGGTGTGCCTGCTGGGGTATAGAGGGCATTATGCGTACTTCGTATTGTAAATACATCTATAGCAACAGACAATTGAACCACAACCTAACATGCTCAGTTATGTTTACCCTTCAAGCACCCAGGAGTCTAATGTTTGCTGCTTTTGGTAGCCGTACAGTGAGTAGGTGTAGCCTGGCTTTTTGCAAATCAAGGTCAAAAATCCTACCCCAGCAAGTTTGGCGTTCTTCTGTTCAAGCAAGTACACATTTAGAAAAGACCTAGTTTTGATCTAGGAAAAAAAGTAAGAGAAAACAGCTAGGCACTAGATAATTGTTCCAGTGATTAATTATATTAAAAAATATTTGCCTTCTCATTGGAGTTATTTTTAATTTCAGCCTCTGCATCTCATACTGGTCAATTGTGGTAACTCAAGTAGCGTTATTGTATCAGAAATTCCTTCCAGCTTATTTGTAGACATAGTTAGCCCAATAGTGGGTTTTGCTTTTTTAAGTCCAGAGGCATCTAGATTAGGCTGGTCTGATTTATGTAGAAGACAGTGATAACAGCTCTGTGCTCTTAGCTGATGTTTCTTTTCTTATTCAGATGCTGCATTACAGCGTTTACACCTACTTAGAAATCTATTATCTTAAGCGTTTCAATTTAAATTCATATCAATTTGGGTTTGAGGGCTGGCTTGCTTTATATAAATACAATTTTACAGAGTATAAGTCCAGACAGCAACATGATGAACTAGTCTGTCCTTGGTGTTTAAAAATAAATGTATATATTTTACTGAATTATTGCAGCATAGAACTCAATAACTTTTTTTTTGGTTGAGCAATTGTTTCATAAAACTTTGCTATATAGTTAATGGCTTTGTTGCTTTCATTTGTCATCAGCTTTTTTAATCTGCAGATTTTCTTGGCAGTTGCTTTTTACTTTCATCAGCATTATCGATAAAGATACCCCATACTTGCAGACTCTGGGATTCTGCTTTGTCCTAAGAAACCCTACTTTAAATTATTGCTTTTTAAGCAATTAGTAACCAGTGTCTAATATGCGCTCCACTGACCTTTGTGTAGCACTGGATAGTGTGTAGAGCCCTAGAACAACACCTTACAGAAATGCTAAGGTGGTTTTGTTCTGTGTTTGTGTTTTTTGTTTTTGTTCGTTTGTTTGTTTTCCAAAGGAAGGGAGTTTCTATTTTTTGTTTATTTTCCTTAACTCTCAAGCATTTCCTCATTCTTCCAAGGATGATTAAAACCCATTAATAACAATTCACGGAGCTTCTCAGGTTATTATCAAGCAGTCTGCTCTGAAAGTTGTCTAGTGCAGGATCTGAGAGTTCTTTAGCTGTTTTAATGATGGCAGAATGCTCCAGAATTGAGCTGTTCTGCCTAGGTCCACAGGGAGCTGTGAATCAAGGGATGCGGCTTGCACAGAGCCCGCTGTATCAGTTGGCTATTCATCCAGAGTGAAGCAGCTGCACTGCTGTGTGTACATACAGCTATGTCCCATTCCGGAGGCAGTGCTTCTGACATTGTGTTTATTTATTTGTTTGTTGTAATCTCCAGTGGTGAAGACACCATGCCTTTGCTAGGCAAGCTCTTCCACTACATAGTTTTCTTTGCAGGAGCAGTCGGTGTCACGTGGACAGCTTGCTGCGCAGCTGCCGCAGGTTTGGAAGCCAGGGCTGGTGTTTGCTGGGTGAGCTGTGTGAGAAGCGTCCAGCCAGAGCATTGATGTTACCCTTGGGTGCTGTGACGCTAGGAATGAGACTCGGCACAGAGTTATTTCTTTCAGTGTGACACTTGGCTCTGAAAACCAGCTCTCTTCAAAGTTAAGGATGTCAATTCCATAATGAAAATGGAGTACTTAATAGTGCTCTATTATAGAGGGTTGTTTAAAGTATTCTGGGGAAAAAAATAAAAGGGGGGGGAATACAGTAAACCTCAAAAAAAGACTTTTTCTCTTTATCACAGAATCATGGAAGGTTTGAGGTTGGAAGGGACCTCTGGAGATCTCTCTGGCACCTCTCTAGTCCAACCTCTCTGCTCAAACAAGGTCACCTAGAGTACTTCTCAATGACTTCTGTCCGTTTGGCTATTGAATATCTTCAAGGAAGGAGACTCCACAGCTTCCCTGGGCAACCTGTTCTGGTGCTCTGCTACCCTCGCAGTCAAGAAGTCTCTTCCACGTGTTCAGACAGAACTCCCTGAGCTTCAGTTTGTGCCTGTTGCCTCTTGTCCTGTCGCTGGGCTCCACTGGCAGGAGTGTGGCCCCATCCTCGTGTCACCCTCCCTTAAGGGATTTGGACGCACTGATGAGCCCCTCCAGCGTTCTCCTGCCCAGGTTGAAGAAGGGCAGCTCTCAGCTCTCCACAGCGGAGAGGCTCAGCGCTCTGATCACTGCTGTAGCTCTGCACTGGGCTCTCTCCAGCAGCTCCATGTCCCCCTTGTCCGGGGGAGCCCGGCACAGGACACGGGACTCCAGGTGTGGCCTCCCCTGGGCCAAGCTTAGGGGCAGGATCCCCTGGTCTGAGGTGAAAATTACTGAGTCCGAGTCTCTCAGACACAGAGTGGGGTTTACAGAGAGTAGTAAAAGTTAGGCAACCATAAAGAAATGCTGATGTATCTCATAGTACTAAATGGTTAAGAGATTCAGCAGCCCTATAAAGTGAAGGTCACGTGGTGACCTCTGCACGGGCAGCGGCTGGAAGAGCTCGGCAGTGGAACATGAGGTTGAGTACGTCAGCTGCTGGGGAGGACGGGGCATGTGTGGGCTGCGTGAAACCCCTGCAGCGCAGCTGGCACAGCTCCCCTCCCCGCCCTGCTCCAGAGCCCTGCCCACGCTCCTGCTCTGCTTCCTTGGCAGCTGGAATATCCGTCCTTCACTGGAATACCTGTCCTTCACGGGCAAGAGCTGGGGGGCCGCTGCGCCATGCCAGCCTATATGGGGGTGCCAGGCGAGGGCAGTGCTGCAGCAGGCTGGTGGTCTGCAGGCGCTGCCTTGCACATGTAAACAGAATGCATGCAAAGAGAGGGGACTTGGCAAGCCTGGGACTTTATTATTAAAAAAAAAAAAAAAAAGGCAGAAGGAAGGAAGTGGCAATAGCATCACATCCCCCTGCCCCTTCATGCCCAAGCACTCTCCACTCGGCGGTGCGGGACACCCAACCATATAGGCTCTCCACTTCCCACTCCTGAACCAGCCCAGCGGCCTGTGAGGCCAGCACGCCTGTGCTGGACCCTGGAGCCCAGGACAGTTGCCGCT